GAGCAACCTAAAATCCTTTCATAGATGAATGCATAACAAAATGTGGCGTGTTGATACAATGGGATATGATTCAGCCTTCACAAGGAATGTCTGACACCCTCTATAACACAGATCCATCTAGAGGGTCTTCTGCTAAATGCAGTATGTTGGGCACAACAGGACAAATGCTATAGGATTCCATTGGTGCAAAATACCTAGTGTATTCAAGTTCATAGAAACAAAAAGACAATGGTGGGTTCCAGGGGCTGAAATATGGGGTTTTTAAATAGGGAAATGTTGTTAAGGAGCATGGTTTTTCACCATGAAAGGTTTCTCAACATTGATTGAGCAAAATGAGGAATGTGCTTAACAATGTTAAGCACCACTCACAGTGTGCTTAAAATGGGTATGAGGTAAAGTTTATGTTATGCATTTCATCATTATGTGTTTGTTCACAATCCAGGTTGATATGAGTGACTATCACTTTTCCTTCCTTATCTAGGATCCCACTGGGTGATTGAAATTCTCTGTCTGATTCACTCCAAAGGGGATACCAAGTGGATTCAATCTGTGCCCATCTGGGAACGCACACCCTGGTTAGAGACAGATGTAGGCTATAAAATGTTAAATGAGAGAGAGGGCCCACGGCTCCTGGCCTCTCACCTCCCCTTCCATCTCATCCCCAAGACTTTATTCACTTCCAAGGCCAAGGTCAGTGCCTAATGTTTGATCAATGACTTTTTTCCCTTCCATGTGCCTAGATAATCCCTGCAGATCTTGCTGGGAGTCTGCTTATTGGTAAATTGGGTGAGAAATAACATTCTCAGATATGAGGTGTGGTTGACGTGGCCACAACAAGACCACACTGAGGGCCAGGATGTGGACCATTACACAGATTACCTTGCCAGATTCAGGAAAGTCACGGGCTAATGCCAGAATATTAGAAAACCACTCTCCTGTGCAAGCAGAATTTATAATCTACACCGGATTATCCCAGCCTTGCAGCTCTTTAAGACGTCAGCCTGTATTAATTCAATAAAAGCCTCCTGCCAGGTAGGTGGAAGCAGGGAGGTCAGTGTTGCCCACATGGGAGCGGAGCATGCACACATTGAAAAAGCATGGGTCCAGGGGCGGCTCAGGAGTGGTGGCCAGCTGTGTCTCCATGGCAGCCCAGGGCACACCACTGTGTCTTTGGATTTGCAGCCACTGCAGCCTCCCTCTGGCTGACAGATGATCAGCACAGACCAGGGATATCCCAGATGTGATGTGCCACAGACTCTCTTTAGAAACACACCTTTTAAAAGTGTTTGTTGACTTCTGAAATTTTTCATGGTTTTGTTTAAACAACACCAAGAAATCTAGAAAAATAATCTCCTGTCTTGGAAATGTCATAAAGTGTCTAACAGTGAGGCTGCCCCAACAGACCCACTTCCATGTCTCCTGTTGGGTTGCTTTAACCCCTGCCTGATTAAACTGGGGTCTAAGGAGACACAAGACCTCCAATAACAATACCAGGAAAGTTGGTGCAAATACAAAGTCAATTTCTGATGTTCAAGTACAAAATGGTGAGTGTGTGTGTTTGTGTGTGTGTTCACTAATCTTGAACACCAGCCTCTTCCTATGCACATATGTACACAGTTGGGAAACTATCACCCAGACCAGATTAGACTTTTCTACTATCCAGAAAGTCTTCCCACGCTCTTCCTACCAATCAGTGCCCCACACCTGAGGAAACCACTCCCTGCACTTCAGCTACACATTACTTTTGTTTATTCTTGAATTTGTATAAAGGCATTCATGCAATTTAGATGTGATATCTGTGAGATTCCTGGATGGTCTTGAGTGTGAAAATGACTATGTGTTGCTATGAATCTGAATATACCAGAACTGATTAACCCATTCTGCTGTTAGTGATCGTTCTGGGAAAGCACACACACAGCCCTCCCCACTAACCACTTAAACCTTTCCAGCAGCTTCCCATGTGGAGTCGACTAATATCCCAGAAAGAAGAGACAAGGTCTTCCTCTTCTATTCCTGCACACGAATAGTAATAGGAATGTTAAAGTATTTCATTGATGAATGTTATACTTAATTCATTAAAGGAGCCCATTGATGTTTATTAGTAGAGCTTAAGTAATAACTGCCTGGATACAGTATGATCAAGGCGGGAAATGACCAATTGAGGCTGATTTTTCATTCCTCATTTTTCCTTAATTCAAGGTGATATATGTTATGAGAAGTCCCAAAGATGTTCTTGTGTCAGGTTATTATCATCGGTCTGTGACAAAACTGAGTGAGAACCCAGAGTCACTGGAACAATATTTTCAATGGTTCTTGGAAGGAAACGGTGAGTGTTCTGTGACAGATTTGCTTCCTCTAGTTTCCTGGCCTTTCTCCTACTTTTGTGAAATCCCTTTTGAATTCTCTTTCTGTATCCTTTCCACATATTAGGAAAACAGACCACCCTTGGCTTTGTGAGTGTGGCTTGTTTCAAATACTATGCTGTTCTCCAACCCACCCATTTTCCTGCAAATGACATAATTTAGTTCTTCTTGATGACTGAGTAAGACCCATCATGTGGTGTGACATATTTATTTGTCTGTCCTTCAGTCAGGGGACACCCAGGCTGAAGTAGCTGCTGGGAGTTGGACTGCTACCAACATGGGTGTGCCTGTCGCTGTAGTGCGCTGACTTTCATTCCTTTGGGTAAATACCATGGAGCTCTGTGACCAGATCATATGGTGGCTCCATTCCTTGTCTTTTGAGGAAACTCCACACTGATTTCCATGTGGTTGTGCTAATTTCCAATCCCAACAGTGTGTAAGTGCTCCCTTTCTCTCCCATGCCTGCCAGCATTTATTATTATTTATTTATTGTGTTCTTGATGATTGCCATTCTAACTGGAGTGAAGTTGTTAAAAATGTTGGAATTTTTTTTCATAAAATTTTTGGCCATTTTCTTTCTTCTTTTAGAAATGATTGTTCATTTGCCCACCTACTCATTGGATTATTTGGTTTTTGGTGTTAAGACTTTTGAGTTCTTTATATATTCTGAATGTTAATCCTCTTTCCTCTCTCCTCTGTCTCGATTCCTTTGCTGTTCAGAAGCTTCTTAACTTGATGCCAGTCAGCAATTCTCGGTTTTCCTTCCTGAGCATAGAAGTCTCTGGAGGAGGCCGAGCCTGCACCTGGATGTTGGAATGCACTCGCTGTGTTTTCTGCTAGTCCTTGTAGTGTTTATGGTCCAATCCTGTGTTTTTTCATCCACTTTGAGTTGAGTTCTGCAGGATTTCACTTCATTCTTCTGCATGTAGCTATTTAGTTTTCCAAGCAGCAATCATTAGACTGGCTATGTTTCCTCAGTATTGGCTTCTGGTGTCTTTGTTAAGGGTCAGATGATGCCATTGTGTGGTTGCCTCTGTGTCTTCCATTCTCACCCATTGGTCTATGTGTCTGCTTTTTTTTTTTTTGAGAGAGAGAGAGAGAATTTGTTAATATTTATTTTTTAATTGTTGGTGGACACAACATCTTTAATTTTTATTTTTATGTGGCGCTGAGGATCTAATCCAGTGACCTGAGCATGCCAGGCGAGCATGCTACCGCTTGAGCCACATCCCCAATCCCCTATGTGTCTGTTTTTATAGTAACAATTTTTTGTTACTATTTCTTCTTAGTATGATTTGAGACTGGGAAGAATTTAAAAAGTGATTAACTTCAGCACTATTCGTGTTTGTGTGTGTGTGTGTGTGTGTGTGTGTGTGTGTGTGTGTGTTGGGGATTAGACCCAGGGCCTTGCCTACGCCAGTCAAGTGCTCTACCACTGAGCCACACACCTGCACCATAGTTCATACTGCTGAGAAAGGCTTTGAATTTTTGTTTGTCATTTAATTGGGGATTGTTTCTTCTATTTCTGTCTAGAATGTCTTTGGTGTTTGATGGGGATTTCATTGAATCTGTAGAATTCTTTGGGTAATATGGCATTTTTGATTCTGGTCATTTAAGAATATAGAAGGGCTTTTCACCTTCTAGTGTCTTCTTCAGTCCCTGGTTTGTCAAGGGTTCTGCATGAGGTCTTCCTCCTCTTTGGGAAGATTATGCTTAGGACTTTTGTGTTGTTGTTTGTTTGCTTGTTTTGGTACCAGCCAGGAATTGAAGTCAGGGTCGATCGACCACTGAGACATATCCCCCCATTTTCTGATATTTTATATAGAGACAGGGTCTTGCTGAGTTCCTTAGGGCCTCACTAAGTTGCTCAGGCTGATTTTGAACTTGCCAACCTCCTGCCTCAGGCTCCCAAGCTGCTGGATTTACAGGTGTGCACCATGCACCTGGCTACCTAGGTATTTTTTGAGACCATTGTGAATGAAAAGCATTCCTGATTTCTTCCTCAGCAGATTCATCATTGTTATGAAGAATAGTTCTGGATTTCGGTGTGGTGATTTTGTATCCTTCTACTCTGCGGAGTTGGTCATCGATTCTACAAGTGTTTGGGGAGAGCTTTTTTGGGTATTCAAAGCATGGTATCCCATCATCTGCAAACACTGATAATTTGGCTTCATTCTTTCCAACTTGTATTTTCTTTTTTCCTTCTCTGGCCTGCTTTCTCTGACTAGAGTTTTAAGACGTTTATTGAATGGGAGATGTGACAGTGGACATCCTTGCCTTGTTCTGGATCCAGGAGCAAAGCTTCCAGTTTTTCCCAGGTTAGCATGATGTTGGCTTTGGGCTTGTCACAGATAGCCTTTAGGATGCTCAGCCAAGTTCTTCTCTCAAGGCAAAATCTATTGATGTGGTAAAATACATTTATGAGTTTGCATAAGGTGCACCCACCTTACATCCCCACAATGAAATCAGCATGTTGTGATGTATGACCTTACAGTGTTAATACAACATGTCTTGTGTTTAATCTTAATGTTGAAAAGGATTTTCTAATATTTCAATAAGGTTTTCTGTATCTGTGTTCATGAGGAATATTGGTTTGTTAATTTCTTACTTGATGTGTCTTTCTCTGGTTTGGGTATCAGTATGATACTGGCTTCATAGAATTAATTCAGGAATGTTTCCCTCTGTATTTCATTACCTAATTTGAACAGCATTTATCAATTATACATGAATCAAGGTGTCAGGGTATGAAGAGTGACATGGACAGTCCAGCCTCTGTTTGGCAGTGTGTAACCTGCACCCATGTGCCTACCCCGCAGTGGCCTATGGATCATGGTTCGAGCACATTCGTGGCTGGATGTCCATGAGAGACAGGGAGAATGTCCTGCTGCTGAGTTATGAAGAGCTGCAGAAGGTGAGCCCCCTCTCAGGGTCAGCACCTGGCAGCCCTGATTGCTGCCCCTGATATCCCTGGTCCTCAGGGTCTCCACTCTACATTCCCCGTCACAGTGTCGCCTCCCAGAGGTCAAGAAAAGTAGTGAACTTTGATCTCCATTGCTCGCTCTGCTTCTGCCTGACCCTCTCCAAGCTCCAATCTCTTTCTTCACATCTTCAATCTATTACATCTGGCAACATCTGAAGGGCCCTTCCACACCCAGGCAGAGGGCAATGGCTTATGATTGCACCTGTGGCTGCCAAGGTCTCTGCAGGCAGGACCTATGATGCTGACAGAAACCTCATCATTAGAAGAAACTGGGCAGAAAGCATTGATCCCAGAGTTGTGTCCACCTTTCTGGCTTCTCCTCTTGACTGACAAAGTGACATGAATGTGAGATATCACTTTGTGTAGCTATTCTGAGGGGTCAGGGGCTGGAGTAACAGGAAAGTCCTGCAGATGATGCTCAGCCCTGGTGGGTGGGTGCAGGGTACAGCTGGGAACAGCAATGACTTCCAGTGACCTGAGGCACAGGGTGGTGACTGTGGAGAACAGTAATCAATCATACATTTCAAAATAGCAAACGGAAAAAATTTTGAATGTTCCCAACTAAATATAGGATTTATTTCTGAGTTTGTACATGTGCCACATTCAAAGGTTAGGTCATCCTACATCAAATAGATCCCGATTCTAACTTTATTTTTCTGATGGTGTAGAAAAATGCCACACTGAACAGCACAAAGCTGCACAGTTCTGTGTGTGATTTTTAGAGGTCCAGACATAGCTGAAAGCTTTAAGATTTTTAGAAAATTTCTTCAGAACTGTTAAGCAATGTAAGAAAAAGTAAAAGACTGAAAAGACCTTTAGAGAACAGCTGGCCTGTGAGTGTGTCTTGGGGACAGAGAAGGTGCCACAGGCACAGGCATCTGCTTCCCTTGGAGAAAGGACCCTAGTCACCTTCCTGCAGCTGCTTCCTGTTCTGCTGGGTTCTCAGCATGAGGTCAGTTCTCACCAAGGACCTTGATGCCACCTCCAGCCACCTCAGCAGCAAGCTCCCACATGTCCCTGTGATTCTCCACTCAAACCACATGTTTTTTTAAATTATTGCCACAGTTGTGCGTCTTCTTGTTATATAGTGACTGGGGATCATGAAAAAAAAAAAAAAACACTACTAATAAAGGCTGATTGTGCCACCAGGAAGGTCTAGGATTCCAAGAAATCCTCCTTATAAAGATCTACTTCCTTGGTGTGATCTCCCAGGAATACACATCAATAATCATGGGTCAATTTTAGGGAGACATTTTAAAGCCCATTGGTTATTCAATGTCAGTTAAGGATTAGTCTTTGGGGGATTTTCTCCTTGCTCATGTTGCAAGGACATTCTTTAGACGTCCAACACCTGCCTTTGGGGTGTCCTGAGCTCAGCCTCCCTGGGAAGCCCCTGTTGATCATCATGTCACCACATCCTTCACTCCCTCTGCTGGCCCCTTGCTCTTTCTCCCTCCATCCAGCACCCACTTCAGTCTTTTCCCATTTTGAGATGTCGTCCTCTCCTCTTCCTCCCCCACACCCCTCCTAACACTTCTGTTCCCATTTCCCACCTCTGCTGTCCTTCCCATTCAGAGCATCACTCTTGATTGTTCACATGTAGGACCCAAGAAGCACCATAGAGAGGATCTGTCAGTTCCTGGGAAAGAAGTTGAATCCAGAAGAACTGGACTCAGTCCTCAAGAACAGCTCCTTCCAAGTCATGAATCAAAACAAGATGTCCAACTTTGAAATACTGTCTGAAACTTTCACTACTAAGAATTTCAAAATTACTAGAAAAGGTAAAATGCTGTGGTATCACAATGTATGAGAACGCTTGGAGGGCATTCTGTGTTCACCGCCTGACACTAAAGGTGAAGGAGTTGGACCTTTTCAATTTTAACCATTCATGGCCCAGAAAGCCTCTCGTGCCCTTGTGGGAAAGCTGTGTTCATGGGACTGGGATGGGCTGAAGGTACCTGGAGAAGGTTGACCCCATCTTGGGGAGGAGGGGGGTTCTGGAGATGGTGGTGTCTGGGCCCCTCCACTGGTGTTTGAGCACTGCCCTAAAGAGAGCACTGCCCTAAAGAGAGAGATACACAAAGAAAGACCAAATTGGAGAAAGTGGGGAGTGGGTCATTTGCTCTGAGACATTGTAAGGCCTCTTTTCTATGAGGAAAGATGAATCATATCTACATGTTTGGAATCAGGCCTATTGAAAATATCTGCTCCGAGTAGAACCTGTTTTTCCCAAGTTTACGTGCACCTGGAATGGTAAACCATGGAATCAATATACCAAATCCTTCAAAGGATATTCAATAGGTCAGGATTCCTGCCACAGAGTGCCTGGAGCACAGAGCCATAAAACAGAGGACTGGGCCGGGGAGGTAGGTGAGAGCCCATGCCTAGCAGAAGAAATCAATAAAGACTGTTCTACTAATGAAGATACCAATGAAAGTGGGAGTAAGAATGAGTGGTTATAGGAGAGCCATTGCCTATTAGAAATTCTGCTACTTGATATTCATTTGGGTGCCGGGTTTCTGTTCTCACAACTAAAAGGCTCAGGGGTCACTCCAGTTGAACTGGGCTGACTGGGCTGCACAAAATAACCACACAAGAGTCACAAATACCTTTTTCATTGGGGTCGCTGTGATGGCTCCTCTGACCCTAAGGGTCCACAGGAAGAGAGAGAGCGAGAGCACACACTCTTATTGAGGAGAAGCTATTCAAGTGAGGCCAGGGGTCAGGTTTCAGGGGCTGAGTCTATCTTCATGATGTCCACTGTCAGCAGGTTGACTGACACCTGAGTAGGCCACACCCAAGGGCACAGTAAGAGAAGGGGACACACACAAGGCACTTCCATGGAAGATTCTATCCTAAACAGGACAGGGGTAATATCACAAAGGAACAGGTGAGCGTAACTTCACCCATGGGGCTGTGGCAAGACACACCCATGCACCAGACACTGACCCTCGAACCCAAGAAGGGTGGGGAAAGCTCTGCCACATTTATGTGACTGAGCGCCTCAGCACCCAGCCGGGGAGTGTGACTCAATACATGCAAGGTTGGTCTCCCACATTTGGGTTAATTGTTTATAGGAGTATATTAGTTTAGATGTCATTAAATATTTCATTAATTATTTAGTTTGGGCTGGTAGGTCAAAATTAATTTATGTTATATATAATACTGTGACCACATAAGTAAAGGGTATGACTTACGTCCATATCTTTAGCTTCCCATCCACCCACCACTCAGTAACCCCTCCAAGGCTTTTTAAAAAAATTCCTTTTCTGGAAAACAAGGTATTATGCTAGTATATTACTCTTTATTTATCCTTTCAAACATTTGTTATTGAGCATATACTATGTCATTCCATTAAGTACTGATTCTTAGGTAATTTGTAAAAATGATTTCATATCCTGATATCTCAGAAATGCATACCTTATGCACATTCAGAAAGGAAGTACAGAGCTGGGGTGGTGGCTCAGAGGGAGCGAGCTTGTCTAGCATGCCTGAGGCACTGGGTTCCTTCCTCAGCACCACATAAAAATAAAATAAAGATATCGTGTCCCCCTATAACTAAAAAAATAAATTATCTAAAAAAGGAAGTACACAGAACGTATCAGGTTTGATCATTGCTATGAACGAGGATGGAGATGTAGGGTTCTGAGCTGAGAGCCCACTGAGTCACTGCATTGGAGTAAACATTTGAGTGAGGCCAGTGGACAGAGGTGAAGGTGTCTGCTAGGACAGCACTCTGGGGTCAGGAGCAGGAAAGGTAAACACCCTGAGGAGGGGGCAGCCTGGCAAGTCTGAAGCTGAATCAGAAGACTGTGTCATGGAGCCGAGAGAGCAAATGGGCAGTCCCAGGGATGGAGTCCCAACCAACAAGGACCCTACACCTAGAGCCTCAAAGCACCAGGGAACTTGGCTGAAGGAGAGTGGACGTCCTGGGAGACTCTGACCCCAAGGGACTGGAGCCACTGGATCTGGCAAGGGGTCAACATGGGTTCCTTGTGCAGAAGGAATGATCACAGGGATTGGCCAAAGCAGAGAGACTAAGTGTGACCTGCTCTCATCACCCAGGTCAGAAATTTTGTTAGCTTGGGCCAAAGGGCTCAAAAAACAAGTGGTCAGACTTAGTTCCAGTCCAGATGTTCTGATTTATAGCCAGGATCGCTGCTTGTGGATTCTGTGCAGGATGGTTTGGGAGAGAAGGGCAGTCAGGACACACTTTCCAGACAGGTAGAAGGGGAAATGCGCATGGTGGCCAGGGGAGAAGGCCTCACCAATGACCCAGGGGTCACTCTGCTGTCTTGACAGAGCAAGGAGGAGGTCTCCATCTTAAGGCCTATCCCTAGATCTGATCTGTGTCTACTTCATGTTTTCTAGGCATCTCTGGGGACTGGAAGAATCACTTCACAGTGGCCCAAGCTGAAGCCTTTGATAAAGTTTACCAGGAGAAGATGGTGGGTTTCCCCAAAGAGCTGTTCCCATGGGAGTAATGTCCTCCCCAAATTCCAGATTTTATATGGATACTGACATTGGTTTTCTGTCCTGGGACATGTATACATCTTGATGGTTCTTAAGATAAAACACATTTCTAAAAGGAAGGGGGAAGGAAGGTTAGGTAACATAAAGAGCCAGTGAAATATAAAATGATAGATGAGGAAAAGGAGTCTAGTCCTATAGAGAAAGGACAATGGGAGAGGGAGGGTCCTGGCGGGGAAAGTGGGATCATGCACTAAAATGGATTCCCATGCACCAAGGAGTTTTTCCAAATGAACCCAACATATGTATACGTACAAAGCTGTGACAAAAATTTAAAAATGTGCTTCTTCATTCTGGAGTCTTGAATCATATATTCTTCTTTCTCTGATCACTTGCTTGTAAAAATTACTGGGACTTCAATATTCACTTCATCACATCCTAGCCCTTAAAATGGTCTTTGTAGTATTTCAAACACACAGATGCTTACAAACATAATATGAATATTACCCACCATGGTGTCTACTTTTCAATGAAGAAATACAATACAGGAGTAGTTAACGTTCCTTTTCTGTTACGTGTATCACCAGCATTTATGATGATGATGATGTAGAGGAGTATAATTTCCAACCTACATTTGTTTTAATTCCTGGTGTGTGTTACAGCATCAATCAAAAGTGGTATGAATAAAACTTTTAATACTTACATAAATGGTGAATGGTGCAATATATTCATAGACTCTCATTTCTACTCAGCATTTAAGAGATGGTTTTATGTGAGCTGACATGTATAGAGTCGTTCCGAATTAAATTGAGACTTGGGACACAGTTGAGTCACCTGTTCTGCTGTAAATGACTCTGGGTTTGTCCCTCACCAATTCTCCCACATTTAAAGCAGTGTCTGGAAGCATAAGAAAAACAAAGGTAGGAGGTGTCCTAGGATGTACATTTAGTACTGAACTGTTCTGACGTTTAGTCTGACTGGTAACTTATAGGCCTTTTATGGGTGATACCAAAATTTCTCCAATAATCTTGTAATTAATGTAATATTTAAATAAACTTTTTTGCCACTGCCTGCTTTGAGTTTGGTGTGAAATTCACTAATTTGGAGGACATGCAGCTGAGCTATATAGTATTGGTCTCCCATTTCGAGGTGTTGAAGACCTTGGAATTTGAACAGAAACTTTTTAACTGCTAGAAAAAGGCATGGGGTCATGTCTCTGACATATAGTGGCAGGTATTGACTTCCTCAATAATACACCTAAAATACAGAAAATAGAACAAAGATTAACAGAAAGATACCAAATTAAAAGATTCCGCACAGCAATGGAAGCAAGTATGTGAAGTAAGATGCTAAAGAATGTGAGAAGATCATTGCCAGCTACTCTTCTGACAGAATGTAATAAGAACTCAAAAAAAAAAAAAACTTAACACCAAAAGCAGAATTATTTTTTAAATACATGACTGTGGAATGCATTACAATTCTTATAATCAATTAATTATTTTTAAAAACCACATGGGCAAATAACATTTTCCACTAGAAGAAATACAGATGGCCCACAAATATATGAAACATTATTCAATATTCTTATCAATCAATGTAATGCAAATAAAAACCAATAAGAATTTATCTTCACATAGAATGTTAAGTATCAATAATAATAATAAATTCTGGTGAAGGCATGGGAGAAGGGAAACTTAGGCACTGTTGGTGCAATTAGAAGTTAGCACAACCAGTATGAGGATAGGAATGGAGATTCTTCAAACACTAGGAAGGGTACCACCACATTCCCCAGCTCTATCTGTGGTATTATTCAAAAGAATTCCAGTCATCATATTATACAACAGTAAATGCACACCCAAGTTTATACCAGTGAGATTTACAATAAGTAAGTTAAGGGAGTCATTTTGTCAAATGTTGAGTGCATAATAAATGCGGTATATATTCATTAGGAAGCTTTGTTCAGCCATAAAGAGGAACAAACTTATGCCATTTGCAGGAAAATGGATAAAAATGGAAAACATTTTTTAAGTATAATAAGACAGACTTAGAAAGACAATGGTCATATATTTCATATCATATGTAGAATGTTGAAAGAAAAAAGAAAATAGCAGAGACAGTACAAAGGTAAATGAAAGAGACAGGAGAGTCTTGGAAATGAATCACAGAAGGGAGGAGTGGGTGGAAGGGGAAAGCTTGGTCCAGCAGTGAAGCAAACCTCATTACGCTCTGCGCATGCATGAATACATCACCACAAGCCCAAGTATTCTGTGCAATCCTAATGCACAATAAAGCCCTCTGTGTGGGCTGCTTGGATAACTCTTTCCAATACCTTTATGTTCGCAATGTGGGAAGGTTTTTCCAATTGCTCATGGAAATACTTAAACAAATACACATATTTTGTTTATAGTATGTTTAGTTTGATAGAAATCCCTGTGATGCTGTTTTAATGAAACAGAATTTGATTGTCATTTCTGCCGCTGAGTAATATCATAATTTTAATTACTAATTTTTCAGATGCTCTCTCTGTGGTCATCTCTCTGGGTTCAACGGTTAGCTTCTATATTTACTGTTTATTGAACACTGCTTTGTGCCCTACTTTCCTTTACATAAAAGCAATTACAATAGAAACTTACTCATAAATTGGTTGTACTATACATGATATAATGTGGCAAGCAATAAAACAATATCTAGCACATACTGAGTGCTAAGAAAATGGTTTATTTAGCATTGTTGGCAATCTTGATCCTATTACTACAACCAATAACAATAAAATGAACATTGTACAATGATTCTTCTATTAAAAAACAAAACCTCCAAACTTCATATGGCATGCAAATGTATGAACCCACTTTATTGATGGAGAAACTTTGCCTTAAAAGTAAACCAACCATTCTAAGTTCTTCCTGCTGGTAAATATGTGTTGGGGATCAAAATTTCATGTCATCTTATTCTGGCATGAGCTAAGTCTTATGACATTGTAGTTGTGTGGTCAGAATTTACTGATTTTGTTAACCAACTACACTCTTTGTGGGTCTTGGTATCTATCCAGGTAAAACTGTATTTTATTTATGGAGAGTGAACAGTGTTGATGCCTAGTGGATTCCTCCAGAACAATTACTGAGATTTATATTGTGCATAATTTTGTCTGGACCCTTTATACTGGATGGACAGCTTGGCTGGGTATAGAGTTGTTGGTGCAGAGGTAGGGTTGGCTCAGTGACAGAGCACTCATGGAGCATGTGTGAGGCCCTGGGCTCGATCCTCAGCACTACATAAAAATCAATAAATAAAATAAAGATAAGTGTTAAAAAATTATTGGTGCACACACTTATATGAATAGTTTCATAGCATTTCCCTCATATTTTTCTGCCAATGAATGTTGTTGTGACATATTCGATAATCTGATAAATTGGTAGCTAAATGTCTGTTAAGTGTTGAATGGAAAAACAGAGTGTGACACATATAAATAATGCAATCTGGTCAGTCTAAGAAAGGCATGCAATGCAATTTCTTATGGCAGCATGGATGGACATGCAGTACATTATAAGTGACATCAATCAGTCACAGAAAAACCCATACTACACTTGTAATGGCATATAGAAAAGATGACATCGGAACAGCAGAGTGGTGCTTAACAGACACAGGGATGGTAAGGAGCAGAGGACTAGGGAGTTTGGTCAATGGGTACGGTTTTACAGGTAGACTGGAGAAATATGTCCTGGTGTTCCATGGCACAGTGTGCCATATGGTCAACAATAATGCATCATATGTGTCGAATTAGTTAGAAGTTAGAAGTAAGGGTTATTTATAACTTTGTCCTTTGGGAAAGCTTAGAGTTATCAGGTGCTTCAAGTTACATACTTTTACTCTATGGATATATCAGTATAAGATCTTTTTTTTTAACTTATTTCATACATGACAATAGTGGAATGCATTATCTTTGTTATTTTATGAATTTTCTCTTGTTGAGAAACTTTGGGTTCTTTTTTTAGAAATTGCAATTATTTCTATGTCTGTCTGCTATATATAATCACTTTCTAAAAGGGTGTTTATTTTTAAACATAGTTTTCTTTTCTTCTTGCATCTCTATGTTTATATTCCTCCTTAAATTTGATGATTGTGAATATGGTGGCAGTCCTTTGAATCACATCTTCATTTATGATGAATTTTAGTGCTTTTACCTGTTTCTAACTTTAGTTCTATAGGTTTCTGCATAATATCCTTCTGTTGAAAGGGTCAGAGTTTGAGGTAATTGGGGTAATACTTGCCTTTGTTCTCAACAGTGAGGGGACCTTATTCCGATTGTGGATATGTAAATCCAGAGAGAGGGGAAGAGGGAATGGAGAGAGAGGATGGAGGGAGGTAGGGATGGAGGAGAGGGGCTAGAGATGGGAGAGAGGGGGACATGGTGGGAGGGAGGGAGGGAGGGAGAGAGAGAGAGAGAGAGAGAGAGAGAGAGAGAGAGAGAGAGAGAG